CACGTCTTCGCCGAATCCAAGGTGAATGAATGGCGAACGTTGCGAGAGGCGGGGTGGGGGGGGAGCCTGTGAAGTTGCCCTGTGGAGTATGAGCAGGCAGCTCCGTGCTGTTGGCAGAATGAAAAGGTTGGCATGGCAGCCTGCCGTTTCTCAAAAGTCTGCCGCCACCCATTTCAATTTCCTCGCCGCTGATGTATACATTTTCTCACCGGTTGTGCGGAAACCTGAAACTGTGGTTTTTTTTCTTCTTGGTTCTTTCGGTAAAGTCACGTAGAAGGGAAATAATAAAATAATAAAAATAAAACATAATTCAATACAATTCTCACGACGTTACCGAAAGAACCAAGAAGATGAATCTCTGCAGTCACGAAAGCTTTAAATCGAAACTGTGGTTTTTGTTGTTGTTGTAACAACAATAATAATAATCATTAGCCACGGTTAATCCAGTGCTGAATGAAACGCCAAACCAACGCCGTGTCTACATCTCGTGATCCCGTGACGTGCTAATCCGTCTCGCACCTGCACATGAGATGATTTTACCGCTCCATCTCCTATGCCGACGGGACCTCTGGTACGCGTTCCATTACAACCGAAATTTAGGGAGATTATTTACCGGGGCTCTCCCCGTGGGCGTATGTTTACGTGCAAATGGTAAACGGCGGTTATTGTTGAAACATGTTTAATACGCACCCTGTAAGGTCAAGCGCCAGTCTCAGTGTGCAACGATATTTTGTACCGTGTGAAAAAAAATATAACAAGTTTGCTTTTTTGAAATAAAAAATACGCAAAATAAATTAATATTTGCGGCACAGGTACGATTGCGACGGCGAATGTCCCCGCATGTTAATCGGCGCGTGGAATATTCCCATTGCGACATTTCAATCCTGTAGCCATGCCCTTACAATCTGCATAATTGAATTTCCCCCCCCCCCCCCCCGCTCTTTCCCCGGTTCAGTTGAGCATCGACCATAAAATTCCATTCCGTAGGTATTTCTACGTTCACGCACGGGTGGCGTGACCGCACATTCATTAATTTATTCGCTCGCTCATTCGCTCATTCGCCCGCCCGCCCGTTCATTTGAGCCGTTGTAACATTTGAAATGAGAATGGGGCCGACTTGTGGGTGCGCGCGGGGGGTGGGGCGGGGGGGTTTTGGCGAGGCTTCATAAATTCAGCCCCGGTTCTGTCCGGGTCGACAGCCCGGAAAATATTCCCACACTCAGCACACCACGTCCAGTGTACCACTCACCACTTTGGCTCTGATACACGTGCCTCCTGCAGTCTGCCAGCGAGATGGAAACATCTCCACACCCGGTACGGCACACCCAGTATTCCCAGGTCAAGGGCCCCTGCACACCAGCCCGCCAGCAAATATTTGGGGCGAGAGGTGAGGCTCTGGTGGTACCACTGTGCCCCGGCCCAACGTGAGCTCGTCTCAGGGAGCTACCGTCAACGTTTCTACCGAACACAGATAATCGCACCTGGCTTCCCAGCGCAGTTGCACAGGCCTGCACACTCGATAGTCCCGTCGTTAATTTCAACTGGATCTGTCCGGGTCAGCGCTCTCTACACCCATGGGGGACCACCACTTCCAGTGGAGCTCTCTCCGCTATGGCCGTGACAACTAAAGTCGTCACGTGCCATCCAGTTTTGACACGTCCGGGTAAATTTTTTTTTATTGCGCACAGTTGGTGTGGAGAGAGAGAGAGCCACCGCGCTCGGGTTTACGTTGCCGTCCTCCTTGCAGTCGACGGGCGACCCCGGAAAATGTCTCCCGCGAGCAGCTGGGCCACCCAGATGCGGCGGCTGAGAGGGACGGTGGCTGCGTGTCACGTGGGGCCGTGGCGGTGACGCGCAAGACGAGGGAGCACGCCGGGGTCAGAGCCGATTCGGGGGGGGGGGGTGGGGGGACACGTCGATTGCGCCGCGGTCCTCGCCGTCTCTCCAAATGCGCTCCGAACCCGGGCCCGCCGAGTTCGATTCCCGCTCACGGGCCACCGACACCCGTGACGATTTTCTGAACCGGTCCCTGGCCTCACCTAGGTCGACTCAGCCTCACAACGAGTACCTGCCGCTAATGTGTAAATATCGCCGCTGGGGAAACAAAAGCGGCCGGGCGTGGTGTTGGCCACCACCCCCCCTTCCCCCTCGTGTGCCGTGCCGGCCTTCATGGGTGCTACTAGCTAACAGCACTTGCCCCAACAGTCTGTTAAGGCTACACGGGGAATCTTTGTCTTTGGGGTTCGGCACGTGGATTGTGCAGTACAGTACTTTTCCAGAGTGGGGGGGGGGGCATCAAAGTGTCCAGCTACACGTCCCTGGGTCTGGAAGCTTTGTCCCACCCCCCCACTGCTCTCCCCCAGACATGGCGAGTGCAGGTTTGCACGCACGCAGAAGAAGGAGCCATGTGACCCGTGCGTGCTGCGTTGCGCGAGAGAGACTTTAGCTCACGCGAGCACGCGCCGGGGGGGGGGGGGGGGGGGGGGGAGATAAATAAATAATACCGCGCTCTCTGCCAATTTCATATCCAGCGGGGGAACTTTCACCGATAAGACATTACCAGTGTGAGGGCCGCCACACGCTACTAGTTTTTGTTCCGATTTCTCTTTGCTCCATTGCTGTGCTTTGCTTTTATGTGATTTGTTTTTGCCATTGCGGGTGGCGCAGGTCAACTCTTGCTGGTCTCTTTGAGTTCCTGCTGGTGCCACCGAATAAACTGCAACTCATGTTCGTACTCTCTTGGGGCGAGGCTCAACATGTTGCCAAGGACAGGACAAAGTGGAAGGAGCTCATTTGCGGCCTTATGTCCCATAGCGGATGAAGAGGATTAACTGACTAACTAACTGCTTGATATTTTTGGTTGTTTCGGTAAAGTCACGTAGAACCAAGAATATGAATCCCTGCAGTCACGAAAGCTTTAAATCTAAATTTTACTGATTGATGTTCGTGATAAGACCGAGTTCCCAAGGGGTAGCGAGTTGATGGATTCAGCCTCACCAATGATGGACGAATACATGCACAACAAATGTCAAGTTGAAATAGTTTCTTCACTTGATTACCGAAAATGTGTGGGGTTTTGTTTATTGTTTGATCGCTGTGCAGCCATCGTGGGGCAGTGAGAAGCCGCACCATCTGGTGAGGGTAACGAGGCAATTAACGGGGACTTGAGAAATAGTTCTGAGTTGTCATCTGCCAGAAGCTGTTGTCTAATCTGTTGTTGTTGTTGTTGCTGCACTGTTTTGCACAAGTGTACTGAATGGAAGTGGTATTGGTTTCTTGACATGGGGCCAACATTATTGGGAGAAAGGGACAGATGATTAAACAAAGAAGAAGAAGGAATGCCAGAAAAGTAAACACGTTATTTGTCAAACTCCACACTCGAAAGAAATCCCACAACCCCCTGCAGCGAAATCTTCACTGAACCAACGCAATTAAAATGTCGGCTTCAAATAGCGACTGCAGGTGACCGCATCTCGAAGGCTCTGCCGCAGCAACAGGAATTCAGTGGCAGGCGGAGGGAGAAAGGAAAGTGTTTGGCCCTGTGCTTGAACCGGCCTCCAGGGGCAAGGAGGTCGACAGCTAGGATGACTGTGGTGGGGAGAAAGAGTTCAAGACTGTGGGGGGCACGGGTTATGACGGTACCAAGATGTTAACTACCTCGCCTGATATACAGGACGTCATGTGTTCGATCCCGACCCTGACGCCGGCTGTATATTTGGAGTTTGCGTGTCGCTCTCTCACTGTGGTCGCGTGGATTTTTCTCCAGGTCCTCCGGTATTTCCTTCCGCATTTAACATCAACGTGCGCTTATAGTATTTAGCTGCTTATAAATTTCCACATGATGATAAGCCACTTCGTTGAGCAATCATTTGTGAATCGCCAAAGATCTATATAGCTATAGAGCTCAGTGGGGCCTTACCTGATAAAATAAAAATAAAAACTCGTTTATAGTTTGTATAGTTTTTTTTTTATGAGCGGCACGGGTTTATGAGAAGGAGTTCCAGTTTCAGACCACGGGGCCGTTGGTGGCATCGTCATTGTCATCGTAGCTGAGGCTTTTGGCCTGAGTCCTCCTCGTGTGGCCAGACCACTCCCGTCACGCTGGCTCGCAGCACGAACGGCATCACGATCAGTGGCCAACCCGTGCGTGGAATTGGTGGGGGGGGGGGGGAAGGAGCGGATGCGGGGGGCTAGAGGGTGAGTGGAGGGCGGGGGGGTAGTGGAGCGTGCGGGTGACGGAAAGCAGGCGACTGTTCAACTGACACAGCCGGCGGACAGGCAGGACATTGGCAGACGTAGCGTGGACCTGAAGCACGTTTGCCTGATGTCAAAATCTAAATTGACGAGTGCATTGTTTAAAAAAAAAAGATAAATTATTCGGACTCCTTCCTATATTAGTCTACGAACACGTGCAGTGCTTTGTCAATCCGCCGCTGGGTGAGGTCTGCGCACCGCACGGCAGCGGGTAGCGCGGGCTCCCTGACCACACTTCACTGCACTGCACGGGTTACGTGACCATACTTCACCGGGCTGGTCGGTGCAGGCCGTTGAGAGCGGAGAGCAAAATCAAAGCCAACAGTTGAGGACGTTGCATGGACAGCAGTGGGAACTTGTCCCATCAAAAAAATAGCCAGCCAACAGCACACTCTCAAAAATGAGACGTCCCGTTCCAAGGTATGACCCGGTAAACATGCAGTGTTGGGCCAACGTTCGCATTGTGGTTGGAACTGTTAGGCCCAACGTTGGACGGACGTTGTCGCAACGTTCAATATGGACCGAAAGAACCAAAGAGTATGGATTCCTGCAGTCACGAAAACTTCAGGTCTAGATTGGGTACCTAGGCTTTCAAATTCAAACAGCAATAATTAAAATCAACACCCGAAATAAAACGTCGTCCTGTATTGCGCGCGTGGCAGCGAACGAGTTGCAACGGTCGCTCTCTGCGTTGCTCTGCGCTGCATCACAGCTCATGTGGTTGTTTGTCGCTGTGTCGGCTCTAGGTGTTCGACGGAGCCGTCATCATCCTGTCCTTCGCCCCCATGGTGGCCTCCACGGTGGCGAACGGTCCACACAGCCCCTGGGACGGCCTCAGCCTCATCATATCGCTGCGAGTGTGGAGGTTCAAGCAGATCATTGACGGTGAGAGACGCGCCACGCGGGGCCCACGTTCCGTGCACACGCGAGGCCACTCGTGTCCACTCACTGCTGGATGAAGGCCATCGCTGTGCCGTGAGGGGCTGGGGGGGTCCTTGAGGGGGGGGGGGGGGCTTGGGGGTTATTTAACCACCAAACTGGCCAATGTGGGTTAAAGTTTGCAGCACTTCCTTGGCAATACAATCAACACTGCCCAGCACCTCCAATCAGCATGGTTGGCTTCGTAAAGTGCGCAAGAAGTAAGGTGAAGTGTAGAGGGCACCACCAGGGCCAGTTTAGACGTCGCTCGCCACCGATGCTAGCCGAGGCCAGAAATGACCTCGGGTTACTGGGTTTATAGCGCAGTGTGCTATCCACTGTGTGACCGCGAACCCGAACTCGCGGACAATCGCTACATCATCAAATCCTTGTTTTATAACTGAACGTCGTGAGAAATAGATCTGCTCTCCACTGGATTTTGCTCGGAGGCTTACCGAATCTAATCCATGCTACTGGATTATGTTTCAGTCCACGATGAACTCAACGGCTTGGGAGTGGCAACTGCTCATCAGCAACGTTTACTTTTGTATTTCATCATCAGCTATTATTTATCCACTGCTGGATAAAGGCCTCCCCATATTATCGCCGTCCTAGACAATCCCTTGAGGAGATGATTTTATCACCTCTGTCTCCACAGTGATTAACCTTCTTTGGCTGCCATTCTGTCACTTGTCTTGTTCATCAGTCATCATTCCTTCTCGTGATGCGTACTGCCCAAGTGCACTTCACTTTATAGCCAGGGAAGTATTAATGGAAAGACTCGCCTCTACCCTAAGGAGGACATACGGACAATCACACATTGACTTCCCACAAAGCTGGCACCCGTTTAACCGACCCTGGCTGGTTAATGGTTTGAGTCGAAACCCCAACCGGGGATTCGAACCTGTCAATTTCCAATTGCGAGCCGTGTGCCGTAAACCTTAACTTCTGAATTCTAACGAGATCCACCACCACCACCACCATTGCCGGCCCGAGTGGTCATCAGCTGGTAACGTTGTTTGTACGCGACGTGCAGCACCGACGAGCTACATTACACAGACTATAAGAATATGTTTTCACCCTTTCTGGCAATCAAACAGTTGTGTTAAGATGTTAAAACACCAAACTGAAACCTTTCGCAAGGAATCATGTCTGCATCAACCACAACTACTTGTGATGAACATGCAAACAAAAAACATCCTCTGATATTATATGCATTGTCTTTGAAACTGATCAGTCCACACCAGAGACAGCTTTCTTTTATTGCCAGAAAGGGTAACACCTATTCTTATATTTTGATGCTGCAAAGGGAGGTCACATGTTACATGACACAGAGGTATTCTGACCGACCTCGTGCCGGCTAGAGCACGTGCTGCTGGCGGGAGAGCCGACCTGGGGCCGGGGGCTCGGCGATCTCCGTCTCCCTTGTTCCCTTTGACCCCTGGCTGGGTGGCGAGGCCGCGTGGAGGTCGCGAGGTGGCCACTCCCGGCACGATTCTCCACCGTCACGTGAAGCGGGTGCCCGCCGCGTTTTGTTCGAAGCGCGACGATCGCAACGGGTCGGCCGCCGCCCCGTTCTGCGAGTGCTCGAGCGATGCGTGGTGTGACGGATGGGGTTGGCGTGGCGTGCTGGCAGAGCGAGTGCACTCGGTTGGGAGGGGCTGCAGAAAGAAGGCCTGCTTGTGGACCAGAAAATGTGACACACAGCCCAGGGCCTCGGTGCCTTGCTCCTGTATAGTGGAACAAATTGAGTTGCTTGTTTGTAAGGCGTTTTCCCAATCTGTGTCTTCATGCATGTGTTCATCTGTGTGTTTGTGTGTGTGTGCGCATACACGTGATTTAAAAGTGCATTGCTCCAGTGGAGCGGTAGTGTAGAGGTTAGCGCTACGCTGCGCTACGAACCCGGCGACCCGAGTTCCACTCTCGCTCAGGACCAAAACCGGTGACGATTATCTGAACCGATCCTGGGCTTCCCCTGGGTCGACTCAGCCTCAAATGAGTACCTGGTGCAGTGTGTAAACATCACCACTGGGGAGACAAAGGCGTCCAGGCGTGGTGCTGGCCACCCACCCCCTTGTGTGCTGTTCATAGGTGCTCACTAACAGCACTTGACCCAACAGTTTGCGAAGGCTATACGGGTGTTGGGAACAGTGTCAGAGTGGTTGGTTCACTCTGCTTTGACACCAGGTGACCCAAGTCTGATGCCAGGTCACGGCTCACGTCAATGGTGGCGTGACATCCAAATTGGGCCCGGGCCTTCCCTACGTCGACTCAGTCCTGACAATAGGAACCTGCTGTCGGGGTCCATACACATTGGCACTGGGGAGAGATGAGGGCAGTCGTTCGTGGCGCTCGCCACACCATTCCCCGTGCACGATGTTGACCTTAATAGGTGCTCGCTAACAGCACCTGCTCAAACAGTCCATATGACAGAATAGGGTGAGTCTTTCTATTTGTATATATCTAAACAGGGTGCTTCATATAAATGTTAACACTTCCGAGAATTTTTGAAGCTATTAACATAAATTTGTTATCATGTTCATCTTCTTGGTTCTTTCGGTAAAGTCACGTAGAATGGAAATAATAAAATAATAAAAATAATAAAATAATTCTCACGACGTTTCGGCCACAACGCAAGCAGCCGTCCTCAGGTGAAGAACAGGTCTGTCAGAAAGACAGCGTCTGAATGTTACAGTGTATTATCCATTCTGTTTCAATTAAAAACGATAGTCCCATATAATTGTTAAAAAACATTTGTAAGCACCCTGTATTGACACGTGTGGCTTTTAATAGTTGCTTGATAGCATCACTAGGCCCGACAGATTATCGGCGGAACCTGGGATGTTTGTCTTGCAGCACTAAGCCCTTCGTTTGAATCTGAGAGCGGCCACCAACTGAGCACCGCACGCGTGCGGCGCATTGGTGCCGTGTTGGGGGCGGGGCGCGGTGGTCTGTATACATCGGAGCCGAGACAATTCGTCGATTGCTGTGGCTGTTGGTTTGAAGCGCACCGGGGAAGAATTCGTCGAGTTTTGCTGCTGTCGTCAGAATCACTCAGTTGGGATTACGCACGGCAATCATTGCCCCAGCCCCCAACTTTCCTGATTGATTGTGTGTCCTTCCCCCTGCACCTACATACGGTGTGAAAGAAGGTTTAAGGTACTGTGCGAACATGCGAAATCGAGTCAGTAAGGCTTTCCTGGACAATCAAGCATCGTCATAATATAAATAGGTTAAATGTGAAAATGGCATATACTACTTATGGCGGTATAGATTAATCGATTATCGTTGATACTTAAACTCACTGCGCGTGCGTAGAGTCGCAGAAACAGTATTTATTTTTCGATGATGCGTTTCCAACGGCTTCACGTTACCCCCGCTGCCACTAGAGGCGCTACTGTCGGTTTGACCTTCAATACGAAGAAATTGACCCCGGGGTCTTGAGTCCAATGGCAATGCTGCACTGCACCGCAGCACTTCGTCGACGGGCGGCAGCGGTACTCGTAGCGACCGGAGCGGCCGTTAATGCGCGCGGAAAATGGTCTGCCCAACGATCGCTAACCTCAGCGAGGGTTGCCTTCGTTTTGGCCCACGGAGTCGTGACCTTTGCCTCGCGAATTGAGATTCACAGCGGGGAGCAGCGTCGCGGCGGTCAGAGTGCGCGCTGCGTTGCCGACCGGCCGATCCCGAGATTGATTTCTGACCCACGGTCAGCAAAGCGTGGGCGCCGAGTGGAGGCTGCAACCGAGCCATCGTTGACAAGCCCCGTCATTCATCCTGGCAATGACCAGCGTGGCGAAGTATGGTCAAATAACCGCCTCGACCGACGACAGCGTGAGGATGCCCCAGTATGACACACGCATGGGGGCAGGGGTGGGGGGGGCGGTGTTACAAACCCTGACACGGCGTATGTTAAATATCGCGCAAGCGGACAGTATGCAGGTTTGCACTGTTAGCAAGCAATCTATTTAGTATCGATTCCATCTGAGCTTTAGTCAATTATGCAATTAGTCGTTAGTGGCAGCTTTAATATTTATAAATGTCTCGTTCGGACGTCATCTGTGCGCGCAAGTGCATGCGTGTGCACGCACGCGTGCACGCGCGTGCACCCTTTTGTCTATAAGGTGATGGAATGAATATTTTCTTCCCCGCCCCTCCCCTCACCACCCCCAGAGGTCATAAAAGTTGGCCGTTTTGGCGTTGGTATCGCGACGCACTGTGGCGACCATTAGGCCCCCGTTCCGCACGCGCGTTGCCTCGTAAAACGTGCAGTAAGTTGCCTTTTTCCTTTTATTGCGCTAATTGGATCGAGTGACGTGGGATATCGCGTGCGAATGGGCAGCGGTCGTGCACGCCCGAGAAGCGGGGCCATGCCTAATGAGGTATTGATGAATAATTCTACCTTTTTGGGGGGGTTTCCACCACCCTCCCATGAAAGTCATTATCCCCCTCCTTAGCGTGGCCGGTGCAATCGCCGGTGACATTCTAGATGCCCCTCGGGGAGCCCCTCCCCCCCCCCCCCCCGCTCACTGGTGCCAGCGTTGCGCTTGCGGCGCCTGTGTCTGTGGGCATCCTCGCTCGCTACGAGGAGGGGGCTATGAGGAGGGGGCTATGAGGAGGGCGCTATGAGGAGGGCGCTATGAGGAGGGCGCTATGAGGAGGGCGCTATGAGGAGGGCGCTATGAGGAGGGCGCTATGAGGAGGGCGCTATGAGGAGGGCGCTGCGAGGAGGGCGCTATGAGGAGGGCGCTATGAGGAGGGCGCTATGAGGAGGTCGCTATGAGGAGGGCGCTATGAGGAGGGCGCTACGAGGAGGGCGCTACGAGGAGGGCGCTACGAGGAGGGCGCTACGAGGAGGGCGCTACGAGGAGGGCGCTACGAGGAGGGCGCTACGAGGAGGGCGCTATGAGGAGGGGACTATGAGGAGGCTGCTATGAGGAGGGCGCTATGAGGAGGGCGCTATGAGG